ATAAAGCATGTGTGCCTGCTGTAGGCGAGGGAGAGGTGGGAGGATTAGGGCCTGAAGACTTCTAGGTGACTATAACCCAAGGAGCCTTGGAAAATGACTTTGAAACGGATTACGAAATTTTAGACTTTTTATATAACAAAGGGGAGGAAGAGTATAGCCTAAGCAATGAAAAATAAAGTTTATTTATGTATTTATTTTTGAGACAGGGTTTCTCTGCATAACCCTAGCTGTCCTGGAATTCACTCTGTAGACCATGTGGGCTTCAAACTCGTAGATCCACCTGCCTCTGCCTCCCCAGTGCTGAGATTAAAGGTGTGCGCCACCACTGCAGGGTTTAATGATTCTATATTTGTGTGTGAGTGTGTGTGTGTGTGTGTGTCTGTGTGTGTCTGTGTGCGTGTGTGGAGGTCAGAGGACAACTTTTGGGAGTGGTTGTCTTCTTTTATCATGTGAGTCCTAGATATTGAACTCGGGTCTTAAAACTTGGCAACAAGTGCCCTTACACACTGAGCCACAGAGAGTTCGTGTTTAGTGAACTGGTGGGGCTAAAGCTAAGGACCTGGGTGGGGGTAGGGCAGGAGGAGGTAAAGTAGTAGCAAAATCCAGCAGAGAAATCAATCACCTGAGCCTAAAGTAACAGTGTCACACATAACAATGTGAATTAAAGTCCTGGAAAATGATCACTCCTACATTAAAGAGTTTACAAGTTCTAATTGATTAGAACTTCATGGTTATAGTGCCGGGCCAGCTCTCCAGTACCCTGACTTACATCCCTGTGTCATCAGGCAAAACCTTTGGAACGTACCAACTTAGCTGACAACAGTTTTGTGTCCTTCCCCTTTCCCACATGTCATCTGCCCCCTCCAGCTAAGAACATCATCAGTTAGCATCTGAAACCTATGGCGGAAACTTTTCCACTCTCCTACAGCCTGCCTACATGATGTTTCTGTCAACACGTTTTTAAAGTACCTTGAACTATGATTTTCTGTGTTCTGTAACTATGAACATTTCATGAAACCACTTCCACATTAAACATGTTATTTGGGGCAACCTGAATCTCTGTTGCTGGGCCACAGTCGCTCATCACTGGCTTCCTCTCGGAGTGAGAGCTGTGATTTGCAGTGACAGCACTGTCTGTCCGTCTAGATGTAGAGAAAAGGAGGACACGGGAGCTCCTACGAAAATTGTAGTTACAAGAGCACGGAAACGTAGACCCGTGAGGTGAGGGGTCAGGGGGGCGTGGCTCAGCAGTTCCTGCTTTCGCCAAGTGGTAAGGCTGTAAGGCTGTGATGAGGTCGGCAAGGGTGCTGAGCAGCACGCCCTTCGGCTAAGGCAGCTCTGGGTCACTGTGCACCATGCCTGTCCCTCTGCCCCTCCTCTGCTATCATATCCGGGTCTTGCACATAATAGTTGAACACTCTACACTGGATTGGCGACTCTGCACACCTCTAACTTCCTATTACTTTCTTCGCCCAGTTATTGTCTAAAACTCCCAGCCACCTTCAGCTCAGGTAGAGATGATACTAGGAACTGTTTTAACCAAGGAACTGTGATGCGTCTACCGATTAGCAGAATGAATTGTGGGAGGTATTTGTTTGCACTTAGCTAAGCAATCCCTTCCTTCCTAGTCTATTCTCTGCCTTTCATTCTGAATTCTCAAAACTTTCCTTTCATTCTGGAAACAGAAGAGTAGTAAACACTTCAAGATCATGGATGTGACCTAAGTCTCCACTCACAGAATATCTGCATTGATCCAAATGGGATCTTAGGGATCAATGGGGGTGGGCACACCTGCAAATCCCAGCACCTGGGAGACTGAGGAAGCAGGAGAATGGAGAAACCCAGGCCAACCAGAGCCAACAAACAAACAATCAAACAAAACAGCTGCGGTAGCAGGACTGTAATCACAACACTTAGGAGGCAGAGGCTGAAGAGTGCTGAGATTGAGGTCAGCCTGGGCTATAGAGAAGAGGCCATGTCTCAAAACCAGAGAAGGGAGATGGGAAGCCAGAAAGAGCCTATGAGAGAGGGGAAGGGGAACAGGCCTTAATGGGGGTAAGGGGTAGTAAAAACACAGTTATTAATAGTTGGTAGCGCTGGGGAGGGAGGGTAGTTTTTCTTTGGAGATATGCCCATTGGTAGATTGCTTGTTCACACTCAGGGACAGGGGGAGTTGAAGGGCAGAAAAGTGAGGGAATATGATCAAAATACATTGTGTACATATATCAAATACTCAAGTAACAAAAATTGTATTAAAAATATCAAAAAGGAAACCACAGAATTAGTGTTTGGAGAATCTCTACGCAAATGGACTTCACAAGCATCATTTTGTTGTCATTTTTGTATAACTAATTTTTATTTGTGTGAGACAAGGTCTCCCATACCTGCGGTTTGCCTTGAACTTCTGATTCTTCTTCCTCTGTCTCATATTTCTTTGTGCTAATAGTATATATTTATATGAGACTTTTTTGGTTTTGTTTTTATAAGACAGGGTCTTTTTATGTAGTTCTGGCTATCTTGAAACTCACTATGTAGAACAGGCTGGCCTGGAACTCAAAGAGCTCCGACTTCCTCTGCCTGAGAGATGTGCCACCCACCATGGCTGGAAAAACCTTTTTCTCACCAGTCTTTTCTTTTCCTAGGTCCTCTCTCCTTCATTCCCTCCTCCCTCCTTTTTATTGCTTGCTTGTTGTTAGGCAAGGCTTCACTATCTAGCCCAGGCTGGCTGGATCTCCGGTCTCAACCTCCAGAGTTTCTAGGGTTACAGGCATACAACTACCCTTGTGCTGCCAGGGCCAAGTTTTGAGCTTAAGTCTTCTAATTTCAGAGTCCCTGCCCTTAGCCACAGCACCATTCTACACAGCAAATACAGCCCGTCATTCATGAATTAGCAGAAAAGTCAAACTGTTGTCACCAAATTGAAATTCCCTGGGTAAATAAAAACTAAACAGTAAAACAAATTCTATTCCTATGATCATATTTATATTTTGTGAATTAATTTTTTTCATAGCCGCAACCATTTTGTGACTTAAAGGAAAAAAAAGAAACGATTTTGAGACAGCGTTTTGCTATGCCACACAGACTGGTCTCATTCAAATTCATGGATGCAAGCAATCTCCCTGCTTCAGCTCTCTTAGCAGTTTACATGGGAAAACAAGTATCCACCACGGCATGTGTGTATGTGTGTGTGATTTGTTTATTTTTTTTTGACAGGGTCTTACTGTGCAGTTACTCTGAACTTGAACTTGTGATCCTCCTGCCTCTGGACTGTTAGTTACAATGGCAAGGGTACACCATGACTCCAAGGAAAAAAAAAGTACTTTAAATATAGGAAATCTTTGATATAAATGAAAACTCATATTGTATCCAGTGCTAAAGTACTTCTTTTCCTATGGGAACTAAATTCAGTGCTGATCACACACTGGGTGGCAATGGAATAATTTAATAGTATTCTTAATGTGCACGCATGCATGTGCGTGTGTTCATGTGGAGGTCACAAAACAACTTTGCCAGGTCTTACCTTATGTACTTTGCTTAAGACAGGCTCCCTAAGGCACTGCACATGTATGCCAGGCTAGCTGGCCTGTGGGTTTCTGGAGACACTCCCACCTCAGCCTCCTTCTTGTAGACAAACTGGGGTCACAGAACTTGGGCTAGTGCATCTGGCTTCTATGACCAGTAGCTTTTTGTGTGAGTTCTGGGGCTCCAAACCCAGGTGGTCAGGCTTGTAGTACAAGTACTTTTCTGACACTAACCCATCTTTCCTCAGCCCCTACGGCTCTTAGAATAGTGAGTGCATCAAAATCAGCTGGAGGTTGGGTGTGCTGTCCAGTGGTAGCACCCTTGCCTGGAGCGAACATACAACTGTGGTCTTGCATGGTTCTACAAATGAGATGTAGGGTAGAAATGCACCTATTTGGCCAACTCTTCCTATGGTTGTCTTCCCCACTCTACCCAGTGGCTCCAGTCCTCATGCAAAAGCAAAATTTCAAGTGTTATGTCCAGTAACAGAGCCTTTTCAAAACAAAACTAACAAGGAAGTCAAGGGAATAGCAGGAAATAAGCATCATCAAGTCTTCGAGGATTAAAAAAAGCAACAACTGGCTCAAAATTAAATGAAAGAACACACAGTGGGGTGGGATGGTGAGACAATTGCACACAGGGTTTATGTCGATAGAAATCATTTCTCTTCCGCCCAGGTCACTATTGAGACATCAGAAGCTAAAGATGAATAAGTTCTGACTCAGAAACAAGGTCAAAGTGATTATTTTTTCCTTGTCAACAAAGGAGGGCCTGACCTCGTACACTGTGAGGAAAACACGTCTGTGGGGAGATTAGCTTTACTGTCGAGCGTTTAAAGCAAACAGAAACACACGCGGTTAGGCAGATGGCAGAAGAGTTCAAGCAATCCATGTCCTACGAGGAGTTTGGGCTATAACTGCTTTGCCAATAGCACCGCAAAGTGCACCCAACCTAGGCGAACGCAATTTGACATAGAAAAATAATCCGCCAAATTAAAATTAAGCTAACCGTGCACTTTACCACCTCCCCGGGAATTTTGTATCCATTTGAAACTTCACTCTAGGCCTGCTGTTAAGTGTGTGTGTGAAGAGCTCCTCATTTGAAAGGCAGAGAAGCACCGGGTTTCAGGAGCCTCAGCTGTTTGCTGCTGAGCTGCGCACGTGGTGGGTTCTCAGCCTCCTCTGACTTGACAGGTGGAGGTGGGACAGGAAAGACTGGGGGTTCATAGATCCCCCAAGGGGGGTGGTGTGTGGAGCCGGACGTGGGCGAACGTCCGCACTGGCGGGTTCGGACCCGGACGCCAGGCGCAGCGAAGCACCCGAGGGCTCGGAGGAGCGGTGGGCCCTAGCTTCCACCCAGCGGGGCGCGGCGCGGGGCGGGGCCACCTGGAGCTCCGCCCTCCGAGTAGCGGAGGTGCCTGGCGAGAGGGGGCGGGAGACGCTCTGTCCCACGCTCGCCCTGTGCTCAGTGGTTTAAAGATGGCGGCGGCGGCTGGGGTGCGGAGCCGCCGGAGGGGGAGGGAGAAGGAGAGTCTGTGAGTCGCTGGGAGGCAGCGCGGCGGCGGCTGTAAGGAGTCCTCGTGTGGAGCTGCCGGCGACTAGGGCCCGGGGGGCCTGGGCTTGGGCTGGAGAGGCCGGAGCGGCGCCAGGAGCTCCGAGGCCGGAGCAGAGGAGGAATGTGAGCCGGGGTCGGCGGGGGCGCGGG